AGACCGGCAGCGCCAGCTCCATAGAGTCCCGCACCACCGTGCAGACCAGCGCCAAGCAGTCCGAACGTCTGGGCGGCCTCCTTCTCAGCATACGCGCTGTTGGTTAGCGCCACGACGGCGAGGCACACGGCGGCGATCTTGCTACTGCTGAACATGTTGCGCTTGCGTGTTCTTGGACAGCCTTCGAATGCACGAGAGCTGTTTGATGTGAGCTCGAGTGAGGAGAATGGGAAATGAGCTCTGGACGGCGCCACTCGGCAACCTTTTCCGTCGGTCCCGCATTGACGGTCGTCTAGATCATGTGTACAAGGCAGGTAGGTGGTATAAGAGAGCACACTGCGTGCGAGGAGTCTACTTGGTATAGACACACAATCGACAGGGACAAGGTCTTTTTGGACGCCATGATGACCAGCATTTTGCTAGTATGCGGAGGCCCATATGTACCGGTATGCTTACATTGTGGATTCTTGCAAAGGCCAAACTCTAAGTAACATGTGACTCCAATGACCGTCACGCAGCTGACACGGTCATGACTGCTCTTAAATGGATACGGGCCCGGTGCAGACGGCCGAAGGCTGGTCAATAATGCAGCCAGCACGCAAGAGTGCGCTAGAGTCCTGAGCTAAGCTACTCGATGTTTTCTTTTGCTCATGTACTCACAAAAGCAGCAAGTTGCCTTTCTCGAGTGCAACTTCAATATCACAGTTACTAAACATAGTATAATTCGGAATCAAAAAGTGCTCTACGCACCAAACATTCAGCAAATTAGATTGATACGATGCTTACTAAGTGCAAGCGACGCATAAAGAAGCAAAACCCGACAGCAATGAGAAACAACAGCACATTTATTTTCTTACTACACGACGGTATTAAAAATTATACACAGATATCGGCAGATCGCCTCTTTGAGCGAGATGAGCTAAGAGCTGATCAACGTAGCCAGGAGAAGTAGTCAACAAGACACTATTCCTCGGCTCACTGCGACCGCAGCATGCGATAACCTGTCTGCTTCGTCGAAGCACCCGTGCCGGCGGTGCCGGTGGTCGTGCCTGCAGTCGTGGTAGTTGCAGTTGCCTTGGCCCCGCCGTTCTGCGACGTAGATGTGCTAGTTCTGCCGTCCGTCGTTGTCGTAGCTCCACCCGCACCAGTACTTGCCGCTCCTCCCACACCGACCGATCCGCCGACACCGGCCGATCCGCCGACACCACCTCCGACACCAGCATTGGCGCTCACTCCACCGTTAGGACCTCCACTCGCTCCACCTCCGACGCCAGCAACCAGTGTGTCCACTCACTCCCGCGCCGACACCAGCATTGAGAGCCACTCCCACCGATCGTAGCCCCGCCCACACCAGCGGCCGAAAGCAGGATTACTGACCGGCGCCCGCCCACGGCACCGACGGAAGTTATGACTCAACACTCCGACCACAGGCACAGGCACCGACACCCGTAGTTCCTCCGACACCAACACCGCCGTATCCGTTACCGAGGCCCGCGCCGCCAACGCCAGCTCCGACCCCAGCACCAGCGCCTCCGTAGCCGGGCTTCCACCTCGACCGAACAGACCAGCACCAGCGCCACCATATCCGGCGCCTCGACCGTACAGCCCAGCACCAACGCCACCAGCACCTCGACCGTACAGACCAGCACCAGCGCCACCATATCCGGCACCTCGACCGTACAGCCCAGCACCAACGCCACCAGCACCTCGACCGTACAGACCAGCACCAGCACCACCATAGCCGGCACCTCGACCGTACAGACCAGCACCAACGCCGGCTCCACCATGAAGACCGGCAGCGCCAGCTCCATAGAGTCCCGCACCACCGTGCAGACCAGCGCCAAGCAGTCCGAACGTCTGGGCGGCCTCCTTCTCAGCATACGCGCTGTTGGTTAGCGCCACGACGGCGAGGCACACGGCGGCGATCTTGCTACTGCTGAACATGTTGCGCTTGCGTGTTCTTGGACAGCCTTCGAATGCACGAGAGCTGTTTGATGTGAGCTCGAGTGAGGAGAATGGGAAATGAGCTCTGGACGGCGCCACTCGACAACCTTTTCCGTCGGTCCCGCATTGACGGTCGTCTAGATCATGTGTACAAGGCAGGTAGGTGGTATAAGAGAGCACACTGCGTGCGAGGAGTCTACTTGGTATAGACACACAATCGACAGGGACAAGGTCTTTTTGGACGCCATGATGACCAGCATTTTGCTAGTATGCGGAGGCCCATATGTACCGGTATGCTTACATTGTAGGTTCTTGCAAAGGCCAAACTCTAAGTAACATGTGCCTCCAATGACCGTCACGCAGCTGACACGGTCATGACTGCTCTTAACTGGATACGGGCCCGGTGCAGACGGCCGGGAGCTGGTCAATAATGCAGCCAGCACGCAAGAGTGCGCTAGAATCCTGAGCTAAGCTACTCGATGTTTTCTTTTGCTCATGTACTCACAAAAGCAGCAAGTTGGGCTCTTTCCGTGCAACTTCAATATCACAGTTACTAAACATAGTATAATTCGGAATCAAAAAGTGCTCTACGCACCAAACATTCAGCAAATTAGATTGATACGATGCTTACTAACTGCAAGCGACGCATAAAGAAGCAAAACCCGACAGCAATGAGAAACAACAGCACATTTATTTTCTTACTACACGACGGTATTAAAAATTATACACAGATATCGACAGATCGCCTCTTTGAGCGAGATGAGTTAAGAGCTGAACAACGTAGCCAGGAGAAGTTGTCAACAAGACACTATTCCTCGGCTCACTGCGACCGCAGCATGCGATAACCTGTCTGCTTCGTGGAAGCACCCGTGCCGGCGGTGCCGGTGGTCGTGCCTGCAGTCGTGGTAGTTGCAGTTGCCTTGGCCCCGCCGTTCTGCGAAGTAGATGTGCTAGTTTTGCCGTCCATCGTTGTCGTAGCTCCACCCGTACCAGTACTTGCCGCTCCTCCCACACCGGCCGATCCGCCGACACCACCTCCGACACCAGCATTGGCGCTCACTCCACCGTTAGCACCTCCACTCGCTCCACCTCCGACTCCAGCACCAGTGTTCCCACTCACTCCCGCGGACCCACCGACACCAGCATTGGCACTCACTCCACCGTTCGCAGCCCCGCCCACACCAGCGCCGACAGCAACATTACCGCCCACGCCCACTCCAGCACCGACGTTGCCACTCACACCACCTCCGACACCGGCACCAGCACCGACACCCGTAGTTCCTCCGACACCAGCACCGCCGTATCCGTTACCGAGGCCCGCGCCGCCAACGCCAGCTCCGACCCCAGCACCAGCGCCTCCGTAGCCGGCTCCCCGACCAAACAGCCCAGCACCAGCACCACCATAGCCGGCATCTCGACCGTACAGCCCAGCACCAACGCCACCAGCACCTCGACCGTACAGACCAGCGCCAGCACCACCATAGCCGGCATCTCGACCGTACAGCCCAGCACCAACGCCACCAGCACCTCGACCGTACAGACCAGCGCCAGCACCACCATAGCCGGCACCTCGACCGTACAGACCAGCACCAACGCCGGCTCCACCGTGAGGACCGGCAGCGCCAGCTCCATAGAGTCCCGCACCACCGTGCAGACCAGCGCCAAGCAGTCCGAACGTCTGGGCGGCCTCCTTCTCAGCATACGCGCTGTTGGTTAGCGCCACGACGGCGAGGCACACGGCGGCGATCTTGCTACTGCTGAACATGTTGCGCTTGCGTGTTCTTGGACAGCCTTCGAATGCACGAGAGCTGTTTGATGTGAGCTCGAGTGAGGAGAATGGGAAATGAGCTCTGGACGGCGCCACTCGACAACCTTTTCCGTCGGTCCCGCATTGACGGTCGTCTAGATCATGTGTACAAGGCAGGTAGGTGGTATAAGAGAGCACACTGCGTGCGAGGAGTCTACTTGGTATAGACACACAATCGACAGGGACAAGGTCTTTTTGGACGCCATGATGACCAGCATCACACTCGTGATACAGCATGCTGTAGGACATAAGAAAGGTTATTGGGAGTATGCGGAGGCCATATGTACCGGTATGCTTACATTGTAGATTCTTGCAAAGGCCAAACTCTAAGTAACATGTGCCTCCAATGACCGTCACGCAGCTGACACGGTCATGACTGATTTTAACTGGATACGGGCCCAGTGCAGACGGCCGGGAGCTGGTCAATAATACAGCCAGCACGCAAGGGCGCTAGAATCCTCAGCTAAGCAACTTGATGCTTTCTTTTGCTCATGTTCTCTGAAATTTATTTCAGAGTATAACAACGATCCTTCAAAGCTCTACAATCTGAAAAGTTAGAAAACTAGAAGAACACTCGCGGCTCAAAAGAAAAATTTAATGTCTAATAACTCTTCAGGAAAATATAGATAACCCAAGAAAATGTTGTTCCAAGGTCCTACTGTCGCGATAATTTAACTTCAAGTCGTAGACTGTAGAGATTTCGATAGTATCACAATAGAAAGTAAACTGCAATAGTTCATATCTAGCGAGAACTGAATCACCCAGGTACTCATTGCTTGCACGATGCTCCAGCGACACTCGCTGAAAATTACGCTCAAATTACGGTAATTAATCGAGAATCACCCACCGTTCGCGCAACATTGTGGTACATCTTGGCTGGGTGAATACATGCACCCAGTGTGGAAATAAATAAAAAAGATAAATATAATCCATGGCAAAGATCGTTTGGTTAAACTGAAAGGTTTAGATCAACCGACTAAGCCCACGCAATGCAGGCAATCATTAATCACTTCCAATGATAGCTGCAACATCACGTAGTGGCACTCAAAACTCTTTCCTAGTCTAGTGATTCAATGGCAAGGATCGCTTGGTTAAAACAAAAAGTTTAAATCAACCGACCAATGCAGGGAATCCTTTATCACTTCCAATGATAGCTGCAAACTCAAAACCCTTTCCTAGTCTAGTCTCCTTTTCGTATTCCCATCCGAAGAAAGAAGTTTCAGTACCTACTTTCTCTCGTCCTCTACAAACCGAACTACGTGATGACGACCGTAGATTTCTCTTCATCCTCATCCGCCGCAATTTGCTGGTCAATAGTGGTTGCGTGCTGAGCAACAGGCACATCAGCGAGCTTTGTATTGAATTAACAAGCCTCCTCGCGAAAGACACCCAAGCCGGTAAAGTGCGCAATTCAAACGATGTCACCCGGAGTAGAAAGTCCTTTACTTTCTTCTACCACAACCCATACGGTAGCCGTCATTAGCTCTTTGTCAGTATCAAAGTGGCGGTCGTCTTCGTACTTGTAGTTCTATCTCACATCATGCAAATTAGATAATAGTTTTATATTACATCATTAAAAATACCATACCTCAAGAAGGTCGGCCAATGAGTCGTCAGCAACAGCGTCGTAAAGATGCAGATGAGCAATATGTCTGCCTCTTTCAGTGGTGTGGAAAACCCCCGACAAGAACAATCCATAGATGACGACTATTTCATTGGGATCTTTAAATGCTTTGGCGTACGTCCGAAGTTCTAGAAAGCAGATTGTGTTAAAATTAGCGATTAAGTCGTACAACATACCATACCCCCCCCAAACCTTGAGCAGTTGTAACAACTCTCTCCGTCATCGCCTTCACTTTTTTGCGACGTTTCTTGAGTGGCGAAGTGTAACCCTTCGGGATCGGAAGGCTAAGCCGCTTCATGTCCTTAGATTTCTTTCGTCCAGTGTTTTTGGCAGCGCCTTTTGGAGCCATTCTCAGTGTTCTTCCCAAAGAAAAAATGTCAAAAGATGGAATTGTCAATGCCATTTGATACTAATCAACTCACGTAATTCAACGTAATAATTAACTCTATGTCTAACGGGAACGTGTGAACTTCAATATGGGAGTAGGAAGTAGGCTCAGTATCTCCCATTGAAGGATCCCATTAAAAATTGAAAGACAGTACCTCCCATGGAAAGATCATCAATTAAAAGATCATCAACGGTTTGACTTAATGCCAATGCTACTTGTCTCTCTATAGCTCTTGGATTACACGCAATAAGTATGGCGAAATGCAAGCAACTGGTACCAAACAATCGTACTGAAAGAAATAAAAATCCTGTACAACGTGCGTCCGACGTGTGTTTAGAAGCTGCATGTCGAGAAGACCTGCATTCGAACCAACCGGACCCGGAGAGAGTCGTGCCTGGCCAGCTAGAGCCGATTTCTTCTCAAACAAAGTCACGTATCTACGCTGAGTTCGGTAGGCGAATGGCGATCCACCCGAACAAGGTGTGCTGCGTTTGTGACACATTTCATCCAGCTGATGTTGTTGTAGACAAATTATTATCACGAAATAGCGCTCTATTTTCGGACGATGAGAAAGAGATTGAAGTCCCCGGCAAATCTACCTACAGGTCTTATGAAACACTATGATTTGACTGATATTTCGTCCCAACTTCGCGGCATCCTGCTTTCACGGACCGGAGTTACTATTGAGGATTAAAAAGTGATTCTTCACCTTTGCAATACATGCTACGCATCACTCACGAACAAGAAGCTGTTTTCACCCCCGAAATTTGCAATTGCCAATGGACTATACATTGGAGTTTTGCCGGCCCAATTTGATGACTCGACGATGACTGAGAATGCAATGTTAAATCTTGCTCAGCCAGCCCAATTCGTTTCGGTTGTTCGTGGTGGTCGTCATCCTTCACTTCGATCCCATGCGTACTTCTTTCGAGCTACCTCTGCCCCTCCTGCTCAGCTACTTCCGGAATTAGTGGTGCCCAAGGGAATATTCGGTGTATCTATGGTAGGCCCCATGACACCACGCCAGAAAGCAGAAACGGCAAAGCGATACCAAGTTCGTGTTTCACGGCTGCGAGATCAGTATGGATGGTATCGTAGAAACAATGTTCTCTACCGCGACGTGCAGCTCACTTCTAGTTTGGAAACGGATTTGGATTAAAGTCATGATCAACACAATGTTC